TATATGCTAGGCTTGTAATGAAGACAAATGCCCACTTGAAGCTGAGTTCAGATTGTGGAATTCATTTCACTCAAGAACTTTTATTGCTCTTAAATTGGAGTGACATTCGGTCAGTCTTGTTAGATCTGGATTCAGACCATGGACTTAGAGGTGGAGCTCCAACAGGTTGCTCTAAAGCTGATAGTTAAGGTTTTAATTGTTGTGCTACTTTTACTGTCAATTACCCTTGCATTACTGTTAATGTTTCTTTGGCTTATCATCTCCTAGAATGAATTCCACATCTTGTTTTTACTTTCTGTGTTCTCCCAGACCAGCTTAATTGTCCGAAACTCATGAGGATCATTGTCTAAATAAGAGCATTATTGGAGTAGAAAATTCCAGAAGGAAAACCTCAGGGCTCTTAGGAAGTTATTATGGTACTTGAATAGGATGCACAGTTCTCTTGTGGCTGTAATACAACAAGGAACTGGCTAGTTTACACACTGCTGATTTGAAGCAAGATTGCTTAACACTGATAGCTCTTAGTCTAATATCTCTGAATCTAGAATTAAATTATCTTACTTTTCTGGGCTCAGGCCATTGTGATATATGACATGGAAAAGATAAAAGGAGCTACTTCAAACAAGGATTTTCCTAATCAGATATAACTTATAAACAACTTTATCTGAATTACTCAATTACAAGCATCTTTGTGTAACCAATGGAGACAAATAGCCATAGTTGAGATACAACTTCACTGTTCTGAAGTATGATACAAAGCAGATGATATGTGAGAATTCAGAGTATTTAATTCCTCAGGCTTTTAGACCAAGGAGATGAGCTACAGACTTCTACACTCTAGACAGATAATGTAAAGAAAGCTGAATCCCTCTCTGAGTACAATTCCTAAGAAATTTCTAAATAAACTTTGTTTTCTTTCATGGTAGTACTCCAGCAAAAAAAAAAAATAAATATAGATGAACTAAGATAATTTTTTTTTACAGAAATAAACACATCTTGAAGATCATTACACATGTAATACATGTATGGAATCAAGAATCATTGAAAAGATGGAGGTGAGCAAATAAACTGGGTAGACTCAGTCAATGCATTGCCTCCATATCTTTGGTTATTTTATGGCAATATAAATAATATCTTTGCTTACTCAGCCAGGTATTCCATTAAAAAAATCAAACAAAGATCCTTACACCATGGTCTGAGGGTATGCATGTCAATTTTTAGTCACAGATTTGATCTAGACCTCAGGCTAAGATATATAAGCAAATAAAAGTTCTGTTATTGCATGAAGATCTACAGTAAATTTTAGGTTGAAAAAATCACATTAAAAAAGCACAAAAAATGAAAGCAAAAAACAAATAAACAAACAAACAAAACCCAAACAAAAACATGAACAAACAAACTGAATAAACCCCAAAAAGTGTGTTTACAAAATCACAATATATTGCTAAGCAGGATCTCTGGCCAAATCTATTTTCTATATAAACTTAAAAGCTGTATTAGCTATAAAGTTCTTTACTCTTTCAATGATTATTCAAGCTTCTGTAAATATGTAGTTCTGTAAATACAAGTATATTCACAGTAGATTTAATGCTGTTTTATAGCCTATCATTAGAAATAGTAAAGCAGTACTTGAAAAGTTCTGATAAGGCCTGATTCAAGAAAAATGGGTAGAAGTTAGGAGAAAATTCCATTTAACAATCTCCCCAACTTTACAGAGCATATCTGAGAAATTTCTCTAAATAATAAAAAGTATTATATATTTTAGTGCTTTGTTTATGTGCTCTATCTCAGGCATTTCCTAGAACAGAAAATGATATGAACTATTATCTAAATTTACCTATTTCTCTTCAGTAAGAATAAGGAAAATCTAGACAGCTGTCTGTGAGATAAACAATATCAGTAACCAGTCAGATGAATTTCACTCCTTAACAAAAAACAAAAAAACCCCCAGATTTAGTGAAGCACCTAAATGTGTTAAAATTTCACCATTAAAACAGTTATAAATATGGATACAGACATGTTTTAAATACAAATAAATCATTCATATCAAGTTTCCAGGATAACCAAATGAGTAGCAGGTGTAAACACATATTTTTATAGCTCTCTTATTTCTTGTCTTTTTAAAAATCAATTTATTTTTAATAAAATAATAAAGAAAATTATTTCTATTACAAGAACAGGGAAATTAGTTCAATAACTTAACTTTTCCCTTCTCCCCACAAAAACTCATATAAATGGCTGGTCAATGCAGTTAAAGACCTTGCAGACTACTCAGAATATAAATAATCTTATCTAGTACAAATAAACAAGCATTTACATTGTTTAACAATTAATGCCCAACTCATGAATAAGAACACAGAACAGAGTCAGAAATATTTAATTTTGTATTATGGAACATCATTAGGAACTATTTGATAAAAGACAAATGTGGTAGAGTCACTTAAAATGCATAACTTTCACATATGAACAGTTCTGTCATCAAGTCACTTTATTCCTATGCAAGGAGTTTGATAATTATGGAACTGATGACATTCAGCATTTAAAAAATGTGGTTTATAAGAGGCGTAACTCAATGGTGAATTTTCTTTTGTCTTCTCTTTTACTGTTTTCTTGTGGAAGATTATTATTGTGGTTTCTGGCAATTTGTTGTTTAAGCTATTTCTTCAGCACACAGCCTGTGCTGAAGGAGGAAGTGGCTGATAAGAAAAGGTGGTGTCTGGTACACCCTGGGCTAAATTACTCTACCTTTCCAAACAGGATAGGCAGGTATCTCTTTACACCCTCTTTTTCCTCTTCTGTTGTTTACACTAAGCGAGAGATTCTCTGCTCATACGAAACATCTTTTACTTCTGTTAGTTAAAGATCCAGAGAATTCTGAATCCAACTATATGATACATTGACATCAGACCCTGGCAGGGTGCCTAGGTACCAAAAACCAATTCAAGAAATTAACTTTCTAGCAATGCATAAACCTGATGTTAGCATAATCCAGAGACTTCTCTGTCTTGGACCACAAGAAACATGTGGAGAGTGCACACAACCTAATTCATCTGATGGCTCAAGGCATTCGTCAAATGTTTTCCTCAACCCTCATCTTAATGATTTTGCTAAAGATCTTTGTAAAAAAGGTGACTTCCTATGTATATTCACCAGAGGAACAGCATAGGAAGGAACTGAAAATGCAAATGGAAGCTAGAAGGATGTAAAGAATTGTGTGGTCTTGAAAGCCTGATCTGTTGAAACTCGTAAAAATGTAACTGCATCACAACGATGTATAATATCAATGAAAAGATCGGGTATAAGGAGGAGTTAAGATGTGCCAGAATATAAAAACTTGGACTGCCATGCCTATTGGAAAGGAACAGAGGCCCTATTTTACAAGAGTAAATAAGAAAATAAAATCTTCCTTTCCATAAAATACTGAATGAGGAAGAGACTCCTGTCTACATAATGGTGGAATAAAATAACCTTGCATGGGAAATCATAAGGTTTTTTTCTGATACATTTAGAGAAACAGAATTTTAGAAAGAATGGCCAAATGGCAATGGAATTATGAAATTCAATTAATTGCAACAGAGCAAAATATGTCCTTGCTAGAATAACATGCAACCAGTATGCCATCCCAAGGAATATTTAACTACTAGAAGTGATCACTCTTTATGTTTGCATTCTCCTTCACCAAAACGGGAAGACTAAATTTTGATCTTGCACAAAGAAGTTGTAATTGCATTCATTAGGTATATTTGTAAAATTTTGATTTGCCATTAACCGAAATGCCAGAACTATTTTTGTTGGCTCAGTATGACCCAGAAAAGTGTGCCTGCAACCCAGAACTCCAACTATGCCTGAATCTGTTGGAGCAAGTCCAGAAGAAAGGCACTAGTTGGGCATGGCACTGGAGCATCTCTCTTGTGAAGATAGGATGAAAGTCAGGGCCGTTGATCCTGGAGAAGACTCACAGGGGACTCTAGAGCTCCTTACAGCACCTAAACTTCAAAAGAGATGATGAGGCACTTTTTGTGAGAGTACATAGTCATTGGATAAGAGGAATGGCCTCAAGTTGGAGGAGGGTTGGGTTAGATCAGGTCTTACGAAGAAATTTTTTACTGTGAGGGTGGTGAATCACTGGAGCAGGTTGTCGAGTTGTCCAGTGTCCTAGAGGTGTTCAAAAGCAGGCTGGATGAAGCACTGATCTACCTTTTTCCATAGAATATGTCTCTGCTCATAGCAAGGGGTTGGAACAAGATGACCTTAAGGTCCATTCCAACCCAAACCATTCTAGGATTCTATGATTTGTCCCAAAATGTTGAGTAACAAGAACCAAAAATCTTATTACTATATACCCTATGTGCCATTTCAATGAATAATAATAATTACACATCCTCTATTTAGGCATTCTCTGAAAAAGTTTTCACAAAGCCCAAACTTGGAAAGGAAAAATTTGACTTTTTCTAGACCAATACGCAAGAATCCAGTTTCAGAGCAATCATCCTCATCTGTACCACAGATATGTTTATTGAAGCCAGTTTTATCTATTAAAATAACACCAATAGTTATACACCAGAAAAATTAAAAAAAAAAACAAAAACCACAAAGCAACTGTAGGAAAAAACCAAAAAATCCCAGAAAATATTTCCACAAACTCTCAAACTCTTTGTTAATCTTCAGTATGCAGTTTCAGCCTCTTCTGTTTCCATTTTATTTGCTTTGATTTATAAGAGTTTTTATTACACAGATATTTAAAGAAATTAATGTTTAATATTGTTTATACAATAACTCATGGGTCTGATGCAAATTCTATTGAAACAAAAAGTGAATCTTTTCATTATTTCAGACTGTATTGGATTAACCTTGAAATCCCCATGTGTGAAGAAAATTTATTATTTGTTATGCTTTTTTTTTTTTTTGTGCGTGTGTTCATTGTTTGTTGTTCTTTCTGTATTATTGAATTCAAATCAGAAATTATAGCCATACTATGTGACTTGTCTAATCTCTTGCAGGCATCATGACTAACCAACACAGAACATTGTGTGATTGCAATTTTCAGTCCTTGGATCCTTCCTGAATATAAGTTTATTCTTAACCAAGAAGATAAAATTTTTTAAGGTGATTTTCTTCTCTGATGTGTTCTAATGGCATTTTAGATTGTTCTAGAGTTCAATAATAGTAGGAGTAATTTTGTCAAAAGTTACACTGAAGACAGTTGCTGGCACTACCACCACCAGTGAATTATTGATGAACAAAGAATTTGAACCTGATTTCAGTTATTCATTCTTACACATAAAAACAATGAATGGAAAATTAAATTTTCTCTTTGATTCAACTACTTTGATAAAAAGATATATGCATTTCAATATTATAGAAGTAAGAATATATTTCTTGTTACAAGAAGCCCCAGAGATCCATTTTGAACCCTCAGAACTGAAATGTCATTTTGCATAATCAGAAAATACAGCACAGATTACAGAGCTGCTGTAAATCCTTAGTAAAATCTTACTTGGTTTAAAGGTATCTTGTGCCAGGAGCACTAAGGGATAGACAATCCCTATTCCTAAAAACAAGAATTTCTCTTTGAGAGAAGAGTGGAGAGAGATAGAAGAGGGCAACAGCAGTCATAGCCAATGTCATAAGTTAGTGATGTGCAGAAAAATTTGCATGACTGTTAATTATATACACAACTACTCCAGTAATGATAAGATCGATTAATATTTATGACTTAGCCATACAGTAACTTTTATCAGAATTAACCTATGAAAAATAACGAACAGGAATTTTTTGTGTGTGTCTGAGTTTGTTCAAAATGAAATAAAAATGAAGAATACTTGAATGATTTCACAGATTTACTTAAAAATTACCTTTTATTTTGGTTGTATTTCTATTTTTAAGCTGTATTTATGTAGAAATTCTACACACAATATTTTTAACATATATTAAAAAAAAAAAAAGAGAAGAAAAGAAAAGGCTTTCAAGCCAATCAAATGTTTTTCCATGCTTTAATTTTATCTAGGAAAAAATATCATTTTGTTGATAGGAAAAAATGATTGTTTCCTACTGAGAGGGAAAATTAGCTTTTCTTTTTTTCATTATTTTGTGAAAGAAAAATGGGAGTGTTAAACATTGTATGAGAACTTTGATTCCTAAATTAAAATTATTGTATTGCACTCCCTGTTGTAGTAGATACCTATTCCTCCTAAGCTGTCAGTGGTGGTGGTGGAGGAATGCATCTCTCCTTTAATGCCAATGCACACAAAATATCAGTTTTTACAGAGTCAGAAGGTGGATCTTTAACCTGTAGTTTTGGATCTTATGATTATTCCAGTGAAATAGTACAATGGCAAGTGCACTGGCTGAAATACAGAGACTGCTGAATGCTTCATATCATTTCAACATCTTTATAAATGCTTTGATTGTGACAAACAATTCAGTGAGGTACCAAAAGTAAAATTATGTCCTCTGAACATCTGCTGACTTTGGAGCAGATTTGACAAAAAGAGGTATGGAGTGAAAATGCCAAGATCCAGGACAATTCACATACATAACCAGTAGCAGTCATGCAGTGCTCCATGAAAAACTTGAGATTCTCCTTGATTTAGATGCAGCAGGATCAGGTTTATATTACTGCAGAAGACATAGTAAATACTTTATTTTCTTCACAAAATATCAGAGATTTTTCATTGCCCTAAAGTTTTTTTGTTTGTTTGAACATCTACAGCTGCTAAATTTGCAATTTGTAACCTTCTTTATTTGAAATCTAAAAATTCACTTCAGTGATACAAACTGAAGCAGTCAGAAACAAATGAGAGAAAAAAAAAGATATAGGGATCGCTTCAAGGAATATTTTATCCATATTACAGAGGGATGGTTAATTATGTCAAAAGAAAAATAATGTTTCTACTTTATATTGGCAGGTAGACCTATAGATGAATCTGCTTCCTCTGACAATGGATGGTGCATCATTTGGGGATATATGCTTGAGTGCTCTTCATCGAACTCCTGTGAGGAACAGGAATCAAAATTATCCCAAGAATTTATACCACAGCAGAAAAACTGGGTAAGATTAACAATGTGGCTGGTCTAGGCAGGTTAGGAAAAAACAAAATAAAAACAACAAAAAAAACCCCTTGTGTTCTGAGCAGATATTACAGATATTTTGGCATGGATCTAGAAAGTGCAAAATCTCACTCAAAAGGAAGCAAATATATTGAATATGTCAAGCTCAGGGAGAAAAGCCTGGACTACTATCCAGAATATCTAGATAAACCTCCAAGATAGATTTTCTGGGTTTTTTTTTCTGAATAGATCTGTCTTCTCTGCAGCCTAGACTAACATCAGAAAAAAGAAGTGTTTTTTTCAGCACCTGAGTCCTTTTCTCTCTACCTAAGGTTATCCAAGTGCCAGACCATCTTCCATAATATTCAGTGATTTTTTTTCTTCCTTTTCTCTGGAAATTGATCTTAATCCCAACTAATCTATAAAAGGAGGGATTATAATTCGAGCCACAGCTTCAGGAGAGGTGTTACCACACTATTAGATACATGAGAAAGAGTTGTTCTTTACAGAAATTGAATTCCTTAAGTGAGTAACTTCAGTTTATCATGTAATTAGCTTTTTATCATTTTCTGCCCACATGCACACACATATCCATACATTCATACATGGATATGCATGAATATGTTCAGACAAAGAGTCTAAAATGAGGGGTTTTGGTGGTCATCAACAAACCTCAAACTCTGGACAGAACTGGACTTCACACTTACTGCTCAAGCTGGAAGACAGAAATAACAAGATAATTATCTTGCGATTACACAGTGTTTACCTTGCATTGCTTATATAGCATGAAACCAACAGATAAAATGTAGCTACTCAAAAAATATATGTAGCAAACAATGTGCTTAAAATAAATACAGATCTTTTCTTCTGGCCTTTGAGGTTTTTTTGGTTTGGGCTTTTTTTTCCCTTTTTTTTTTTTTTTTAATTTAGTAATTTAGCATGCCATGCCATCAGCTCTTTGTTCTGCTGACTTATGAGTGAAACAGAAATTGGTGCAACAAATTTGTGGTTTTAACAGGTTTATTATTACATTATTCCTTTATAGGGTCTACATAATTGCACAAAATGATGTTATAAATTCCCACCGGAAATACTGATCCTTCTGTAGCCTGATGTCCGATGTCTAGAGGACATAAGCAGTGAGTCTCCCTCACCTGCTATTAACATGCCTACATGTTCCTTTTGGTGTATTAGAGGGCAAAGCAAACAGGGGGCAAGGCCTAAGTGATCCAAATGGATAGAGGAAAAGGGCGAGAAAGAAGAGAATGGGTTTGAAAATAAGCCAACAAGCACTTACAGCAAAACGAAATACCAGCAAAACATTTTCTTCACAAGTAAGGTTGAATCAAAACCCTATTCCCCCAGCATATGAATTAGAAGAACAATCGTGTGATTATGATTAAAAAAAAAAGAGCATTACATTTTATGTTCAGCTATAATTGGTATTTATGACAATTTATGTAAACAGTAATGAAGCCTATGTGATTTTTGCAGGGAAATTGCATTATGACACCAATGATCGTTACTGTTAATTTTCCTGAAGATTATGGCAATCAGCAGGCATAGTTTCATTGTAAATAGGTTAATTTAAAATTCAAACGCTGTTAGTATTTCAAAATGAGTTCACATTTGATTTCTGAAAGCTTTGGCCCTGGCTGCCAGGGTGTCGGGGAAAGAATGCTCCACAACAGAAAGAAAGAAAGAGAAAATGAGAATGAGGAAGAGAGACTAAATAAGCTTTCTTCCAGAAATGTGTTTTCCCCTGCTAGTTCAACTATTTTCCTAGGTGTGGTGTGATCTGTTATTTTTTTACTGGTTGTTTTTCACAAGTTCATAGTGAAAAGAGGGCTCACCATGTCTAGAAATCACGGGCTAATCTAGTAGTTTATCCAGTTAAGTTATGATGGTTTTGCAAAAGGTCAATATAGTGGTATATAGAGGCATGACATTTCTTCACACAGAGCATCAAAACTCACCTAACAGCATGTCTTACCTCTTGGCAATGTATTTCAACACCTAGAAATACCCCTCTTCCAAATACATTATTCTTCCCACCACTTGCAATAGTAGGGTTTCATAAACATAAGTATAATCAAACTCCCAGCTCTGCCATGTGAGGAATTGCAATACCATCTCCTGTTTCACAGAAGGGAAACTGAAGTGCTAAAGCCTGAATTTTTAGTTTCCACTACAATAAAGAAAAGGTAACTACACACTTTATGAACTTGGGTCAAAGAGAAAATGGGGTTCCAGTTACATCTAAAACCCCTGAGAAAAATGATTCCACATCCTTCTATCTTCAAATGAAATATCACCAGATCCTTCTCTGTGCACATTTTTATAAATATTCCAAAAATGCTTCTTCTGTGTTTTCAAGCCCTTCTACCAAAGCTGTTTGAAAGCATTGCATTATCCTATATTTATTTGAATATGAATATCTAAATGACAGATTTCTCCATAGAAAGGCAGAGAGTGAGTAAGCGTGGAGGCCAGTTCAGATAAAGACTGCAGTGTAACCTTCTACTTGTCTTCAGCACAAGGTCACTTTCAAGGGCAACATGAACAACTTGTTTGCAATCTAAATGACATATTTAGATTATAGTTTGCAATGTACATAGGGGGCTTCTTTTTTTTTTTCATTCTTTCCTCATTGCCAGATAAAATGTTTGATACGAATCTCCACTGTAACCTTTCAGATTTCATTTATTTAGGAGAACTAAAATAATGAAATGCCAAATGAATTAAGATGATATTTCTTATAATATCAAGTGAAGACAATTTAAATAGTCCATATTCACAAGCTCACAAAGATGAATGATCTGTTCATTTGTTAGTGTAAATGGGATGCATTTGTTAGCTATTATTTGTAGTGTCTTGAGAATTTTTTAAGATGGAAATTTAGTCAGATGCCCGAGATGGTCCAAAGAAATATAAAATTGCACTTTGAGAATTACAATTTCTTATTTTGTCTATCTTCACAAGTGTGATGCTGTTGGTCTTCTTGGTCCATTTCAAGGGGAATTAGGCTTTTTTTTTTTTTTTTTTTCCTATACTCTACTAATAACCCCACTCATATTTTTAGGGTGAGTGTTTCATATATATTTTTTTTTCTGGAAAAGGTAACATCTGGGATTAAACAGAATTATGGTATTAAAAATATATATCCATCTGAAGCAGATAAAAAATAGGTCTTCCTCTCTTTAGAAATCTTACATCACTCACTAAAAATGATCCTCTGAATTTTTTTTTTTAAATTAATTTCTGTCGGTCATATAATCAATAGTCACAGTATTCATCTTGTAGAACCCCCAGAACTATTAATTATAGTTTCATTCTGTGTTCCCAAAATCACAGTAAAAGCACCTGAAACACTAGGGTAAAATAGCAATGGATGATGTGGAGTTGTTTCAACCAATATTTCTGTTACAGATTTTAAAAAGAGAGCAATTTTGGAAAGGGTGATTACATAATAATAGTTGTCTTGATTAGGGTAACATTTAGGGCCCTAAATCAGAAACAGGGTCCAAAATTATAATACCATGGAAACAAATAAAGGATTTTTTCCTCAGACAAAATTATTTATGCAAATAAACAAAATAAAATATAAAAAAGCAAATAACCAGTAGAAAATGTAATGGAAAAAAGTCAACTTATAAAAAGCTTTCTGCTTTGATTAGATACTGACATTACTTCTATTTTTTATTTGTCAGATACAGTACTTGTGACAAACACCATCAGAAGACATGTCTCAAGAAGGGAAAAATTATTCAGTATAGAATTTGTCAAATATAGAAACAAAAGGAGGCAATAAAGTAGGATGGCAATGTTTCTCAAAATCCTATCCCATTAACTTGCTTGCCTAAAATTTGGGTATGAGCTTTTCCATCTAATTGACATCCAGATGAGTTGCATCCAGTGCCTAATGATACAAGACAGGAAATTATTTCCTGTTAAGGTCAATGGAAAAAAGCAGAAGGCTCAACACTCTGATCCATCTCAGCTTCTTAGCCATTATCTTAGAATCGGATAAACTTCACCTTGGATATCCCTACCCCTCTCCATTAATGTTGGACTAGGTCTACAAAACTGCTTGAAATTGCAAGCCTGTCTTTCATGTAGCATTAATCCCATTTTTGGTGCTCTATCAGTGGTAACCTTGTCATGTTGTACTGACATGGCTGACAGCAGGCCACACAGTTTGCCATAAGGACTTAAAGCCTGGTGTTAGCAAGACCTCTTGTGTTTGATCTTTTCTTGACCTGCCTGCAGATCTGTTTTACTTGGTTTATCTATAAAGGTATTTTTCTGTAACTGACCAGGTGTCTGTGGAAGATTTGCTTTGCTTTTGTTTACTCTCATGGCGCACATCCACAGTTATACGCCAACAGCAGCAATAAGTAGTTTTCCTGTGTAGAACGAGGGATTTATGACTAACACAATGGCATATTGTAGAGAAATAAAGACCTGGTATCACAGAAGAGGGCTTGAGAAGTGGGGACATGGGTTGTACAGCAGAGAAGTACAGACAAGGATTGATAAAAGATAAGGCAAATGCTGCCTCTTGAGTCCACATGGATATTAACAACTCATTCATGTCAGTTAATGACAAACTGACCTGAAGCTGTAAAAAAAATATCTTTAGGAGTAACAAAGGGAAGCGAGAAAATGTATGCAATTTTAAAAAGTAAGTATATAATACATTTTGTTGTAGCATGGCAGTACAAGCAAAAAAGAGCAAGGTGTAAAACATGTTTAGAAATATGTAAAAATAACCTCACATAGATCCTAGAGAGAGGAAGAAGAAAATATAAAGATTAGAATTATACTTTTCGCAGCTAAGCACTCAGGATGCTGAAGACTCCCCATAATCTCTGATGACATCACCACCACACCTAGCAGATGAAATCTCTTACCTTGGGATGCTTGGGAAGAAGATAAGTGTAACATGAAGAAAAGGACTGAAAACTCAGATGTGTTTCTTGCAACCAAATATGTCATAAA